ATAATTTTTGCTAGGTCAAAAATGGGAAAATAAATTTCAAATAATGTTTATCATTATGTAAGTTATTTTTTAAGGTAAGGAATTGTGAAATGCCCCATGTGCGTCCGTAGTCCACAGCAAATGCGTGTCATCAGCTCTATATTGGACCACTAAGTTGCCAATTCCTCTCTCACGAGTTATGCGCAGATAACAGCTATACTCTTCTAACCTACTGTATGTTTCACGACTCAAGAACTTTTCTGAAGCTAAGATTCTGCGAACTCGTGGCGCTAAGCTAAGCTGGTAAGGAAAGACGTACCATGCCTGCCGCAACATTAGCAGCGTCATCAAGTGCTCCTCCAGTAGTGCGTGATGCTTCGAACAATACGGTATCGAACTCTAAATTATGTATCTAGTGGAAGCATTTCCCTTTCTTTGATTCCAACCCTGTAAAGGACGTCCATGATCTGGCCAGCCCACCAGAAATATTCAAGGTATGCTGGCTAATACTGTTTCGAACACATATACTAATAGAAGGTAGAAGAATACTCCAGAGATATCAGTAATCACAGCTTCTACTGCCGGAGTCTTACTCGCGGATATATATGGCAGTATACATATTCTTAACAAGGAGTTTGAGTCCGTTCGGAGCTGGGTCGCTCATGTAGGAGGACGAGTGACGCAGATGGTTGACAGGAAGGGTACACTGGTCACTATAGGAGTGAGTATCCTGCTACGTCTATTCTAGTTTTTTCTCTTGCTGACAGTGTGTGTATAGGAGGAGGAGAATGTCCCTTCCCCGTTACTGAAGATCTGGGATCTCGGAAAGATCGACAAGAAGACTGGAATGCCTACTTTATTACGCTCCGTCAAGATACAACACGGTACACGGCCTCACCCTGTAATTTTCCTCTCAGATTATTCTTTATGTTCCTAACGCCTGGTCAGGTATCGACGGTAGCTCTGTCAGCGTCACTTTCGCATCTAGCCATTGGACTCGCGGATGGCACTGTTCTGCTGTATCGGCATCTTGACCAGTCTCTATCGAGCTCAACAGCTCTCTCTGCGCTTCCCAAATCTCGCACATTACTCGAGGCTCCAACCGAACCCATCACAGGATTGGGATTTCGCGAGCCTAGCGCGGCTCATGCAGAAGAAGCACCTCATTTGCACCTCTTTGTTACAACTACAAGTCGTGTTCTGTGTTTCCAGGTCTCTGGAAAAGGCAGTGGCGGCAGTCCGCGGGTCGTAGATGAGGTAGGAGGGAACCTTGGCTGTGCCGTGATGGATTGGCGTGCGAGAGATATCGTGGTTGCTCGAGATGAAGCTATTTACATGTATGGAACTGAAGGTAGAGGCGCTTCAGTAGCTTACGAGGGTGAGTTTTCCGCTGCTAAATTTTTTACACCGATTTTCATTTTCTCAAAATTAATATGAAGGTTACAAATCGTCAATTCACACGCACTTGAACTACCTTGTCATCGTTTCCCCTCCATTCACGGCGAGTGCAGCGACGAACTCCGCAACCGTAAGGAATTTCGTCTCGAAGAATTCGCTTCCCGATAGGACAGATGTTTCCAAAGTCACCGTTTTTGACCTGGAGAACAAATTCGTTGCGTACTCGGATACTTTTGTAGGCGGTGCGCGAGCCGTCGTCTCTGAATGGGGACATATATATGTTCTGACGAATGATGGAAAGGTAAAGCACTTAGCCTGTAAAGTTGCTCGCTCTGTTCTAAAGTACGTCTTACTAGTTGTTTTGCCTTGAAGAAAAATCTACACCAGAGAAGTTGGACATGCTGTATCGGAAAAATCTCTACCTTCTCGCACTGAACCTCGCCAAAACTCAAGGGCTGGATGAGTCGAGCGTCGCAGACATTCATCGACAGTATGGCGACCACCTCTATAGTAAAGGAGATTATGATGGCTCCATGCATCAGTTTATCAAGACGATCGGGTTCTTGCAACCCAGTTATGTTATCAGAAAGGTTTGTTTCCCTATTTGACGCAAGGTACATGCATTGACAAAAGCGGTTACAGTTCCTTGATGCACAGCGTATTCACAACCTTGTCACTTACCTCCAAGACCTACATTCGCTAGGCCTCGCCAACTCGGAGCACACCACGCTTCTCCTGAACACATACACGAAGCTGAAAGATGTGTCTCGCCTGGATAGCTTCATCAAGACTGAAGCACGGCCTTCTTCCGATAGCGACTCTAAGTCCGATGAACCTCCGTTCGATCTCGAGACCGCGATCCGAGTGTGTCGGCAGGCAGGGTATTTTGAACACGCAAGCTACCTTGCGAAGAAGTACAAACGACATGAGGACTACTTGCGGATTCAGGTGGAGGACGCGGCTAATTACAAGGATGCACTTGCCTATGTAAGGCGTTTAGAACCTGAAACGGTACGTTTTCAACACATTGAAGGATTTATTTCGCTGATTATCCGATTAGACGGAGAGCAACCTTGCGCGCTACGGTCGTGTTCTACTTGCAAATTTGCCGGATGAAACGACACAGCTTCTCATTGACATTTGTACCGGAAGTGGTCCAAGTGAACCCGACGATCTTGCGTCGGCGAAGAAAAGTCCTCCTCCGGCTACGTCCTCATACCTCTCGTATCTCGCATTAGGCAGGGTAGCACCAGCTGCTCCCGAAAGCACGCCACCTTCACCATCCACCGCTACTGTCAAGCAAGCAGACGAATCAAAACAGCCTCGGCGGGCCAATTCTGTTCATGATACTCCACGTACGGGGTCTCCCGCACCACCTACGATCAATGTGAAGCCAAAACCCGAACGAAGACCTTCTCCACGTCAATATTTCTCTCATTTTGTTGACAACTCGGAGAAATTCGTTGTCTTTCTAGAGGCTGTGGCTTTACGGCGATGGGGACAATCGACTGAAGAGGTATCAGTATCGGACAGTGATGCATTACCTGCGCCGCTGGACGAGGATGCTGATAAGCGCGACCAAACGGCCGTGTGGAACACCCTACTCGAACTGTACCTTACCCTGGCGGAAAACGAAGGTGAAGACAGCCTGTTGCGTGCAAAGGCACTCGCATTATTGAAAAGTAGCACTCTACCCTACGACCCAACACATACACTCATGTTATGTGCCACGCGCGATTTCACTCCAGGCCTTGTACTCTTATGGGAGAAATTGGGCATGTATGAGGACATACTGAGATTCTGGATGGCTCAGGAAACGGAAGCACATGTGCCTGAGGCGTCAACGGAAGTCCTACGCGCTCTGGAACGCTATGGCCCAGAGAACTATCACCTGTATACACTTGCCCTGCGGTTCTTGACATCGAGCGCTGAGCTACTGAGTAGACATGCACAGGAGCTGGAAGGTGTATTGGAGACCATCGAACGCGAGAAGATTATGCCTCCACTTAGTGTTATTCAGGTTCTTAGCAGGAATAATGTCACGAGCGTCGGACTAGTGAAGCAGTGGATGTTGATACGAATCAAGGAGTCCAGAGATGAGATCCAAGCTGTTAGTCTCTTTTCCCCCTCCTTTCGTGTTGGAGATTTCTCTGGCTAATTTTCTTTATAATTGATAGGACCAACAACTTATCAACTCATACCGCGACGAAACGCGTACAAAGCTCAAGCAAGTAGAGGAACTCTCAGACCCAGAACACCCACGTGTCTTCCATGTCACTCGCTGCTCACAATGCGGCGGTCAACTCGACCTTCCTACCGTCCACTTCATGTGTAATCACAGTTATCATCAGCGCTGTCTCGCAGAGAACGAGACAGAGTGCCCGAATTGCGCACGCTCACATGGGATGGTGCGGGAGATTCGGCGAAATAATGAACGTCTTGCGGGTCAGCATGATGTGTTTGCGTCGGAGGTGAAAGAGGGAGGGTTCAGTGCGGTTGCAGCTGGGTTTAGTAGAGGGTTGATGAAGATGACGCGGGTAGATGAGGTGTCGGCTTCGTAGTTTTGTCTTCCATTCTTCTATTTCACTATTTCCCTCCTGTTGATATACGACATCTAAGGAATATTCTCTTTCTACATTCTACGTACAAAGTTCTGCGTTATGAACGCCCATTGGTAAGTGACTTCTTAATCATACTGTGTCTTCCGGGTCCGACACCAATCCACTCGACGCCAACTCCGATAAAGTTCTCTATGAACTCGACATACTTTCTACAATTAACGGGTAACGCCTCGTAGTTCCTCACTTCGGATATGGAAGTCTTCCAACCAGGGAATGATTCGTATACTACGCCGACCTTTGCAAGTACGTCCAAGTCCGCAGGAAACCCTAGGAGCTCGTTACCTTCGACTTTATACCCAACTGCAACCTGGATTTCCGCAAGGTCGTCGAGAACATCGAGTTTCGTAAGGTTGAGAGACGTGTATCCATTGATGAGGCACGAATGACGCAGTACGACGAGGTCTAGCCATCCACACCGTCTTCGTCTACCCGTCGTTACACCATATTCCATGCCGACTTCTTGTAGATGTTCACCTATAGAATTTAGCTGTTCAGTAGGGAAAGGTCCGCCGCCAACGCGCGTCGTGTACGCTTTGACGACGCCGATGGTTGGACCGATGAGGCGTGGTGGGATTCCGAGACCTGTGCATACTCCACCTATTGAGGTGGAGGACGAAGTGACGAAGGGGTAGGTACCGAAGTCCAGGTCTAGCATGAGTGCGTTCGCGCCTTCGACTAGGACGCGCTTGTTTTGCGTGAGTTGGAGGTGTAGGAAGGCAAGCGAGTCGAGCACGTATGGCTTTAGACGTTCAGCGAGTTTCTGTCGTTGTCAAAATCAGGAATAAATCCTCCATAAGATTCAATGAATGGGGTGTTTACCTTGTACCGAACGATCTCCCCTTCCGTGTCATATTCAAAATGCCCATATCGCTTGAATCGGCCTTCAACGATCTTGCGGAACTTGGCAGCAAACGCATCATGATTGAACAAATGGTGCACACGCAAACCCGAGCGGGAAGCTTTGCCAGAGTACGCCGGGCCAATACCCTTCTTCGTCGTACCAATGCTGTAAACCCGATAAAACAAAAATTTACGTAGCAGTTCGCGAACTAAAGGTAGAAATGTAAGGCACCTTGATCCACCCAGCTCGACTTCTTTCAGCCCATCGACGATTTGGTGAAAATCGAATACGAGATGTGCGCGATCGGAGACGAAGAGTCTGCCCGTGCAGTCGAGGCCTAATCGTCAAATTTAGATTTTTACATACGACGGAAGAAATCTTAGAGATACGTACCTTGAGCTTGCAACGCATCAAGTTCTTCAAAGAATGATGGTAGATGAACCACAACGCCTGATCCGATCAAGCCAACACAACTCGGGTTGACAAGGCCTAATTGAAATCAAAATCTTCCAGCTTTCGAACCTTACAAGAAGATTCGACGAGAACCACTCACCACTGGGAAGCAAGTGGAACGCAAATTTCTTCTCGATCTTCTGCGGACCCATCGGTACGACAATCGTATGGCCGGCATTGTTCCCTCCCGCACACCGTGCACAAATATCCATCTCCGCGCTAAGAATATCGACAAGCTTCCCTTTACCTTCGTCACCCCATTGCGCACCAAGTACGACGGTGACTATATGCGCAGACACTGATATCAACATCTCTACTTTTAAAAAATCTGGAGGTAGTGACTGACCGCTCATGGTGGGAAGAGCACGACCTTTGATTGCACGGACGAGTCGTGATTGACACAGAGACGAATGTGGAGACAAGGTTGGGGAATAAATTAAGACAGACGAACAGCGCGCTTGTTTGGCGGGTCTGCGCTTGTAATTTCTCTCGGCGTTATCCGGCCGTCTGTGGGTGACGTCGATCGTTAGCGAGTCCATCCGACACTGTACGCAGCGAGCACGCACGTACTGCAGCGTACAACTCTAGCTGAACACGTCTCAAATGCGATAATAGATGACTATGCCTACGTTCTCTTCTAATCCAGTCAACCAGAGTCAGCTAAACAGCACAATCCGACGAAATCCGTTGTTGTTTGGCGTGCCGTTCGTGCTCTTGATTGTCGGCTCGTCGTTCGCGTTAACGACGTTCACGCAGACGCGGTATGACCTGCAGAGTCAGCGACACTCCAATGTAAGACTCTGTACTGCCTTTAATCATTTGAATATCATATCTTACTGCGTCTGTGTAGGTGTCAAAGGAGGATGAACTTGGACTAAAGAAGAATAGAAAGAAGATTGACATTCGAGAAGAATACTATGTAGGTTCATCGTTGATCTTCAGTTTCAAACCTGTCTTACGAGATATTTGTTTGCTCGTTCAGCGAATCCAATCCTCGGCAGCACAGGATTGGGAACCAAAGCGAATTGAGCGACCGAAAGGCGTACCGGATTGGGGAGTACCGCCTGCAGAACCTTCCTCGTCACCAGCAAACCCTAAACTCAAGTAGTTCGCACATGTATGGTATTTCCGCTGTAATATAATATGCTTTCGTGTAAAGGTTTATTCTTTATTTTTGTCGTCGGGACTCGGAAGTGATTAAATTGTAAAATGAAATACATGACATAATCATAGTATTGAATCGGAGTGTGAATACTGAACAAAACGGGAATTTGTTGTCACCTTTGACAAGTACCGTCACTTGTGACCCTTTCGTCGTCACTGAACGCGCCGTAGCTCAGCTAAACGAACACGTCCTGTAACGCATCGTTACTAGCGCGTCCCCGTCCGACCTCCCGACAAAAAATGAACACCGCACCTACTTTCAACCATGCTTATGACACCGTGTCTGCCCCGACAGGCCAGCTGCAGCCCGATTCTACTGGGGCGTCGCCACGCAAGCGTGGGCGCGCTCCCGAGCAGGACCTCGACCCGAAGTTAGCTGCAAAGCGTGCCAAAGCGGCCGAACGTCAACGCCGTAAGCGGGAACGGGACCGCCGTAACACCCTCGGGGCATTCACAGGCGCTGTTCAACCTACTGCGGGTCCCTCTGCCCAGATTCAGCAGCCAGCCCCTCCACCCGCAGAGCCGCCGCAACTCACAAAGGAAGAGGAGGAGCGTCGGGAAAAGGTTCGGGCAGCCGCGCGTGAGCGACAGCGGAAACATCGGGCATTGGTGAAGCAAAAGAAAATGGCGGAGTTGGGGCTTGCGATGGGCGAGAACGGTATCCTACCCGAGGAAGTGCATTACGCGCTACAACCGGACGGCCAGTATCAACCCGTCTTACCGCCTAACGCGCAACCCGCAGACATGGGCAATCCCGAAAATCAGTATCAGCCCTCAGCGGGTGGACAGACAGGGGGTCAGACATTCGCGTCGACGCTATTGCTTTCATTATCATGTTCCCCGCTTTTGAAGGCTCATCTCCTACGATCGCTCAGTATGACCAATGAGGAGCTTTGTTCTCTTGAGCCCATCCTTTCAGCGGCTTGGGACCAGTGGGATCATGCTGTGAGTATCATACGATCTATCATCACTCGCTTCGATTCTGCTAGCGTTCTGATGACTACTCGTTTGAAAATCACCGGAACTTAATGATATATGCATCCTGCTAGCGCCGACTTCATTATGCTGAACAGGTTGCTCAGGCGAGCCGACAACAGCAAGGTGACCAACAGCACCCAGAACAACAGCAACAGCAGACAGAGCTGCAGCAGAACGGCCCGGGTCCGAGTGCCGGTCCTCCACCGCCCCCTTCACATCCATTTGGCCCACCACCTATGAGTGATCAACATGACCCGAACGATTTCCGGTCGCGTTTCCATCGACCACTTACAGCACCGTCTCCATTCGGTACTATTCCAATGCCTGGTGCGGCGGCGCAGATTGACCCTAACCTCAATGGTGGACCATCATCCACTGCTTTTGCTGAGGCTGTCGCAAAGGTGGCCATGGCGGCAAATGGGCAGAACGTACAGGCAAACGGCCTGGTTGATGGCGATGCTGACGCGGAGGGCGGCTCTGGCTCCGAAGACGCCGAAGCTGACGTCTCTACCGAGAAGGACGAGCTGGAGGGGAATAACAAAAAGGAAAGTTGATGGAATTCTTCTCTTTGCGGACATAGTTTACTTTGAACTCGGATGGACGATGTGATACTAAGTCTTGTTGGCACGACAAACTTCTCTTTTTCTCTCTGACTCTCTCTGCATGATACTGTTATTTGCTCTGTGTCTCTCGTCGTCTGGTCTGTACTACTAATTATACGGCTGCCTTTTTGAGTCGTGTGTGTATTGGTACTGTCTTTAACCTGATAAAAGCTGTACATAAATTATGTCTTTCTGTCTCATTTAACATATACATATTTGGCGATTACTTTGGTGAGTTATTTCGTAGTCGGAATGGACCACGCATATTGTTGGTCGCCTTTTGGCGCCAATGTTGTTGAACTCACTAAGATATGGTCTGTAAACTGGAGGGGAAATACTTTTGCAGTGTATCGGACGAATGTGGAAACGATCGCCAGATCGACGCATCTACGTTTTGCTTCCACGTCAATCGCATCGTCTTTCAACTTCAAGCCACCAAAATATCTATCTAACAAGGCTAAACAGGAATGTCTTTGCCCAACGATGATTTATCTGTTATCAAGTAAAACTCATTCCGTGGGTTTTACTTCCAGGCCCGGTCGCCCGGCACTGCTCAAGCTCGAAATAGCTTCCGTCTACGGGAGCAACTAAGTCGTTTCTCGTGCTCTGGCCTCTTTTTCCTTTTCTAACCCAATACTAGCCCAAAAATGCTCTCAAGGCGTGGAATGCAACGCTATGCGCCTGCCTGTCAACGTGTACCGGTGCAAAGAACCAAGAAATGCGAAATATCATAATATTTTGCGCGTCCAACGTATTCAATTCTCAATACGCTGCTGCTCCTCAAATTTCCATTACCCCGCCTCATTTTCTATTTTTCCTTGCACTGGCAGAGCGCTGATATATGCCACTTAACTCGTTGTCTATAAGTAACCCGAGTTCTAGCGGTGCTGATATGCTGTAGTAAACTTTTCTCTGACTTCTCTCGACTACTCCGACCTGAGCTCGTTCAGCGACTAACAACGCCTAAATACCTCCGATGCCTTATATTTGTAACGTTTGCGGTGCGGCCCTTAGCCGCAAATACGACCTCGAGCATCGTCATGCCAAGATACATACTGGCGAAGCTTAGTACGTTGGAATTCCTTTTTATTTGTGTTTCCATCGTTGACACTTATCAAACGAATCCTCTCATTACCCAGCGAGCATTTTTGTCCATACCCGGAGTGTCCGCGCAGCACCCGCGGTTTCTCGCAGAAGGGTAACCTGAATACCCATATCAATTCCAAACAGTAAGTATTAAAGCAATTCGGGTAAACTTCACTTAGCGACGTGATTGCTTACAATTTGTGGACGTTTCGTTCGGCACATTACAGTGCGCAAGGTGCTGCGAGACGTTGGTACTATTGTCGTCGTGCGGGATGTACCGGGAAGTTCTTGGACGCTTCCGTTCGTAGTAGGCATGAGAAGAACACGAGGGCGCACAACAACCCGTTTGTTCATTGGTCTGGAGCGAGTCCGGCTGCTCACCCGACTCAGCCGATTACTGGAGATGTAATGGCTCCGGGACAAGCTTCAGGACCATCGATTCAAGGCTACGGCTTAACTTGGTTGGGTAATATGCAACAGAACGTCAATCTAGGAGAGACAACACAACCAGTCTCCTCCAATCAAGTCCCCCAAGCCCCCTTGCCACCTTCTCAAGCTTTCCAGATCCCGGTCTCCTCTACCGTTCCAAGCAGCTCTGCAGTAGACAACTTCATGCCGGCCCCACAGCCAGGACTGGACTTCGACAGAAGAAGCTCTTCAACGACAACGTTCCAGTCGTCTACACCCTTCTCGACATATGGCCAAGAACAACCATTGGAAGCTCAAGCGATTGTAAAGCCTGATCCCGAAGACCACACGTACCCTCAGACTCAGACTGGCACTAGTGCTATCTATGAATCTTCTCATACTGCGGGTTACAACGTCGATGTTGATGACAACCACTGGTTCCCTCCAAGCTCGAATGCTGAAGCTGGGTCATCCACTAGTGCTGCACGCCAGGACTTCCAAGATCAATTGCAATCTTCGGGAGCAGGTCCAGGACCCAGCTCCTCCTCGAATCCAAACTCACATTTCTTTGGTTACCACCAATGGGATAAGTACTGAGGAACTTCCCGGATGAATATTGACGAACTCTGGATGGATTGGAGGATGTAGGCATAAATTGTTTCGTATTCCATGCAGAGCCGTAATATACCCATAGACTTGTATCTTCACTTTGTTTTTCAATTTATACCTTGTTATCCACCTTCTACACTCTCCTCTCACCTTCATCGTCAACTGTATCCTTCCTACTCGCGTCAGACCCATATTTTCTCTCTTGTGGCCCATTGTACCCAGTTCGGGATACATAGTCCGAGCGTCCGTCTGTTCTTCCTTCTGTCACTCACTACTCATTACTCTCACCTACTCCTTCTTGAATACATTCAACAAAACTTGAGTATTATTGATGGCTTTCTCCTGCGAGGTCTGCGGCGCTTCCGTTAGCCGTAAGAGTGACCTCTCTCGACACGCCTTAATACATATGGATCAAGCTAAGTATGTTGACCTTTCCTCCGTACCTGTGTTTCCGAGTCCATCGTCAGTACTGACAGGGATGCTGTTCCTTAGTCGACATTTGTGCCCTCATGAGGGTTGTGATAGACAAACCCGAGGTTTCAATCAAAAGGCAAACCTCAATAAGCATATTAACTCTATACAGTAAGTAACTCGACGAGCATACTATTCTCTCTCCACGTAAAGTTTGACTTACGACTTATGGACATTTTGTACATACAGTGTACAGGACTCTTCGAAAACCTGGTATACTTGCCGGATAGAAGGTTGCGAGAAGAGGTTCGCGGATCCATCAGCCCGCATTCGACATGAGAAAAGTGCAAGGATACACAGCTCTCTGCCTGCTCGTCAGGAAGTATCGGCCCAGGCTACCCCCATACAAGCAACCACTGGGGACGATGTAACGTTGGGTCAGGCAGAAGGACTTCCGCATCAAAACCAAATAACAGGATCAAATAGCGTGCAATATCAAGACAATGCCTACCCGGCAATGGCAGCCCAACCACTATACATCCAAGAGCCTCTTCCCCCACATCCGTCTTCTCAAGTTGACGGGTTGCCAGTCTCATATACTGAGCAAAACTACCTTACAGAAGACCACTTCATGCCGAACTTGCAAACCCAGGTGGACCCCTTTGGCGGTATACCGGAATTATCCACATTGACTGCATCGTGTTTGGAGTTTACACAAAACCCTTACTATTCTCAAGCAAATACAATGCTTGAACCCGAGGAATACTTGTATTCTCACCTCAAACTATCATCGACACTCCATACGAATGTCCTGTGAACGGATACACAAACACGAACACGAACACGAACACGAACACGAACACGAACACGAACACGAACACGAACACGAACGCTAACGCTACCGAATGGATTGACTCGTACCCGTCAGCAGGAGGGCCTGGACCATCCTCTTTTGTAGGAGCACAGAACACCTACGATTGGTCACAAACATACGGAGCAGGACCGGGGCCCAGCTCCTTCTCTAACCCAGGCTCAAGTTTTTTTGGATACTATCAATAGGATATAGGTGAAGTAAACACCAAGGTGGAGAACCGGTGAACTCTGGATGGACAGATAGAGACCTAAAAACAAATACCTTTTGACACTTTTGTATATTCTAACACAGCCGTATCTTCTGTATACCCGTTTTCTGTTTATATCAGCTGCTCCTTTTTCCACATTATACCTTTTTATCTTGATTGTATGACACTCAGTTCTTGTCCTCATTACCTTTTTACTTCATTACTTCATTAGATCCCCCATTGAGTTCTTTGTGGACAGTAGATACAAAGTCTCCTGTTGTGCATTTTTATCCATCCTTTAACATACATTGAACAATATTAACATTACTTACACCTTTCATGCGAGCTTCAAGATGTACCTAAAGCTAGCTGAAGGCACTGAAAGAATAATCATTTTCTCCCTTCGTAAGACTTTGGCAGACTAGCAGCTGGCCTGCTGGACTACTGATTTATTTTGCATATTTACCAAGAGTTGGCCTGTAAACCGGGGTGGGAAATCATGTCGTCGCGGAGTATCGGATAAATGCGGGGTAACGATCGCCAGACGGACCTACATTTTTGCTTCCACGTCAAGCGCATCGTCTTTCATCTCACCTTAAGCTACTAAAATATCTGTCTGACAAGGCTGGACAGGAATGTCCTCACTTAAATGCAACTTATCTGTTATCGGGAAAAACTCGACATCTGGGTTTTACTTGCAGGCCTGGTAACCCGGCACTGCTTCAAGTTGGAAAAGCTTCCGTCTGCAGAAGCGATTAGCTGGTTTGAACCGACTCTCATGCTTTGGCCTCTTTTTCCCATTTTGTTGCAATGCTAGCCATTTAGTATTCTCAAGGCGTGGAATGTAATGCTATGCGTTTGCCCATGGGCGCGTACCAGTGCAGAGAACCAGGAAATGCGAAATATCATATTATTTTACGCGTCTAACGAATTCAATATTCGACATGCCGCTGCCCTCCCCTAAATGATTTTGCTCTGCATCGTTCTCCACTCCTCCTTGAGCTGGTGGAGCACACCTATGAATCACTTAAATCGTTGTCTATAAGTAACTGGAATTCTAGCGGGCTGATAGGCTGTAGTAGATTTTCTCTTACGTTTCTCGCAGTCCTGCTCGAACACTCTTAACAATAACAACACATAAATATCTCCGATGCCTCACACCTGTGACATTTGCGCTGCGGTCATTGGCCGCAAGTATGACCTTGAGCACCGACATGCTCGGATACATACTGGTGAAGCTCACTGGCAGTACGTCGGATTTCTTCCCTATCTATGTATTCATCGTTATTGCTTATCGAACAATTCTCATAACTCAGTGAACATTTTTGCGCGTACCATGATTGTCCACGAAGCACCCATGGTTTCTCACAGAAGGGTAATCTAAATGCCCATGTCAATTCTCGGCAGTGAGTTACTCGAATGAGCCCCACGACAATATACGTTTACTTACAATTTGTGAACGTTTCGTTTGTTAAATAACAGTGCACAGGGCGCTGAAAAGCGTTGGTATACTTGTCGTCGTGAAGGATGTACCAAGACCTTTGCGGATGCTTCCGTTCGTATTAGACATGAGAAGAATGCGAGGGCACATAGCACTCAGTTTGCTCAGTGGTGTGCAACAGATCAGGCCACTCATACGACACAAGAGAGCACCGGGGACGCAACGGTGTCGAGGCAAGTCTCAGGACTACATGCTCAGGGCTACAAAACAGCAGGCTCAAGTAATATGCGGCAAGACGTCAATCCTGGACAGGCAATGCGCCCACCTTCCTCCAATCAAGTCGCCCAAGCCCTTTTGCCTCATTTCCAGGCTTTCCAGTTCGCCACCTCATCTACTATTCCAGACAGCTCTGAAGTGGATGGCTTCGTGCCAGCCCTGCAGCCAGGACCGGGCTTCGACAGACGAAGCTCTTCAGTAACGACCTTCCAGTCATCTACACTAGTCTTGCCATATGGCCAAGACCTACCGTCACGAACTCAAGCAGCTATAAAGCCTGATCCTGAAGAAGAATACTTGTATCCTCAAACTCAGACAGGCACTAGTGTTACGTATGAATCACCTTTTACTGGGGACTCAGACATCAACATCAACCAATGGTCACCTTCAAGTCCGACTACTAGAGATGGACTATCTACTGCTACAATACGCCATGACTTGCCAGAGCAGCCACAGTCGCCAAGAGCAGGTCCAGGGCCCAGCTCATCCTCAAATCTGGCTTCTAGTTCCTTTGATTATCACCAGTGGGATAGGTACTGAGGAACTTCCCATATGAGTATTGACGACTCTGGATGGATTGACGGATGTAGGCATACATCGTTTCGTACCCCACCCAGAGCCGTATCTTCAATATACCCCTAGATCTGTATCTATTACTTTGTTATCAATCTATACGTTGCTGTCCACTGTATGACACTCTCTTATTACTTTCATCATTGACTATATTTTTCCTACTCGTGACAAGCCTATGAATTCATCTCTTGTGGCCCATTATACCTAGTGTAGGAAACACAGCATCCATCCATCTGTCTGTCCTTCCATCACTCACTACTCACTACTCTTACCTACTCCTACTCGAACTCATTCGACAAAACCTGAGTATTACCCATGGCTTTTAGCTGCAACGTCTGTAGTGCTTGATTAGCTGTAGGAGTGACCTCTCTCGACACGCCTCAGTTCATACCAATCAAGCTAAGTATGTTGAATTTCCTCTTTGCTTGTGTTCTCAAGTATGTCTTCAGTACTGACAGGGATGTTATTCCCTAGCCAGTAACTCTGCCCTCATGAGGGCTGTGAAAGACACTAGAGGTTTTACACAAAAGACAAACCTGAAGAATCACATAAATTCATACTAGTAAGCAACTCGAAAAAAAAACAAGTATGCTATACTCTCTCCATGTAAAGTTTCACTCACAAGTCATAAACATTTGGTATATATAGTGCTCAGGGCACTGCAAAAGACTGGTACGCCTGTCACTGCGCAGGGTGTAATAATACTTTGTAGGTCCTTCTGTCTGAACCAGACAATGGCAGACGTCAGAAGAATGCAAGTATACACAGTACTCTGTCATCTCCTCAGCCAGGCCCAGATTAAGTTGCCCATCCGACACAAGCAACCACCGCGGATGCAACAGTACTAGGACAAGCCTGAGAACTCCTACTTCAAGGCTATAACAAACTCTGGATGAATGCAGGTGTGGATGATTTGTGCTTCATCCGGAGCCGTATTTATAACGTTTATAATAGTCCCATTGCTTTATGTCCATGTCTTTGTTCCCCTACCTTTTTGTTCCTTCGTTTAATCCTGGTGTTCTTTGTCTCTGAGTTCTTTCTGCTTTTGTTACTCCTGTATTATACTCTTCCCAAATGATATACACCTAGTTCTATCTTATACAGTTCTTTGTCCAACCTTTTATCCCCTCTTGAATGTATATTAGACTATATTAGGTCTACACGTATCTTTCACGTAGACTCCAGAGCAACAAAAAGGCATGACAATTGTTGTGTACAAGGAACAAAGTACACAGAAACGGAATCGATTTCCTTTTTTGTCCATTGCCCCCTCCAGCAAAGCCAAGCTGAGCCACTCTACTGGGCAATTGGGAGATAAAGAAAAGATTGATTCACAGAAAAGAATTGGACCAGTCCTACATGTCAATGCAAAAACTGCAAATGCAACTAAGAAATGACGAATGTGCGAAGGACCAATGCGAAGGATTGCAATGTCAAGTTGCGAATGCAAGAACAAAGAGAGAAGGAGCAAAAAGCAAGATAAGTGGAATTGTGCAGCCTCGTGCTGACTTTGTTCAAGTACTAGTGTGACGTGCTGAGGTGAGGTGAGGCCAAATGAAGATGATATGAGAACATGCGTATCAAGGAAAAGGAAATAAAAGGGAGGATGGGATTGGGATGCAAATAAGCATATCAAGAAAATGTTTTGATGCAAGAAACTCCAATACGCAATGCGTAAGTCCATTAGTACCGTCCATCTACCGTCCATTTCTAAGGCTTTAAGTTATTCAGAGTATATCTACATAAATATGCAAAGCAAGTCCGTCCGTCCGTTCAAAAAAAATTGTTTTTAGTGAAAACAAAGATCAATGTTGAGTAAACTGCAGCGTCGGAACGCCTGCAGCTTGTAGGACCTCCTCCTTGTGGGGTGGTTCATCTCGATACTTCCCTCCCATTCCACCCGGCGAGTTGGGAACGTCGACGTTCGTTACAAGCGCTTGCGTACTTGCGTTTTTATCCGAGTTGGGATCGGCTGAGGGAGGTATGGGAGAGTGTTTCCGTCCGCGGATTCGACCTATCCAGGTACGTGAGCGGATGCTCGCATCGTCACCCAGGAATGAGGACGGTCGATGTCGGGAAACACGGAAGGGACGCGGGAAGAATTTGTGTTGTGCATATGCGAAAATGGGTCTGTAAGAACGATGAGGAAACGAAGTGTTATAATTAGAAGGTATTTTTCCGGAAGAGAATAAAGGTAAGAACATACATTACTGCGATGGTGATGATCATGATGATTTGAGATGATATTAACGGTTTATATCCCGTTCCAAAGATGTCCTAATAGGACATCTTAGTTACTGCACTGCAAATGTTACTATGTTTCAAGCGGACTCACAGACAGATGATGTGAATTTCGGTCGAACATGAAGCGAAGCCCGCGCGACATGCCAGCCTGCTTATTGATGAGGAGGTCGATCCCAAGACAGATGAGGAAGGAGCCAGCAGCAGAGCTCCCAACAATCTATTAAAAGAATATCAATATCAACCTTCCTTATCTCATCAAAATGCTCAAACGATGAGCAGGACTTACAACTCCCCATCGCTCCTTCCAAACAACAATTACCAATCCCACCGCACCAAATACCGCACAAAGCAACCAATCAACATAATACACTCCAACAAGTAAATCTTCCTTCATCAATATTATTCGCATCATGATCGACAGACCGCCTGCTGCGCCGAGTACGGCCGTTCCTACTCGGTACTCGATCGTGACGACTCCGATAACAAAGCCGATGACGAAGAGGGCGACGGTGATCGCTAGGATGACCATGTCGGCGATGTTGCCTTCGCTGGCAGTATTGATTATAGAAGCCCATACTAAGTCAACAAAGATACTACGAGTCAGAATTGCCAGTAAACGTAGGAAACAGAAAGAGTGAGGGACGCACTTGAAACGGCGATACCAAGGCCAAGACCGACACCACTCGTGAAACGACCCAAACGAACGCCAGCAGTTAACAACGGGATCCCAAGCAAGAACGCGAAAACAATCCACAGGAGTGCAGGAACGTTTATGCCGTTTCCCGCACCGTCATTAGCAGAACCCTGTGCAATTGCGTTCCCCATAACCGGATCCGTAATTTGGACCGTGCCAGATTCATTACTGAAGATGAATGAAGTGCCGTTGTTGAACGTTGCTGGTCGTGCCTCGCACGATATGGCAGCACACGAGAGAACGTATATGAAGAGGCATCCCTTGAGAAGGGATTGACGGAATGGCATGAAAGTCGGTACGTCTTGCTGCAGAGGTCTCTAGCCGGTAACGTCAAGCTCGGTTGGGTTGGTCAAGGAAAGGAGGGGATGGTTTAAGGAGCGTCGGTCGACCAAAAGTCGAATAAGGGGCGGAACACAGGCGAATAATAAAGCGAGATGAGGGTACGAGAGAGACGTTAGCAGACCATGAGTAAGTGACGAAACAAGCGAGCGACCGGCAGGAAGGCACGGCCCATCTGCGCCACGGTGCAGGCCGCCGTGAACAAAATCTAGGAATTATGGAAGCTAGGATGCATCTCCATCTTCCGTTCGTAGAAACTCGCGATATTCGTTGCTTACTTCCACTCTCACTTTCATTCAATACTCAATCACACTGTGACCGAAGCCAACTGAGGTTTCCTCAGATGAAATTACTACGACTTATTTGCTCACGACGAAATGGACAAGAATTCAGTATTCAATATGACTTGGTCTGATCGTCGCGAAGTATGCGTCCCAACGCCATATCAGAGGTCGCGTACCTGTGAATCTTAAGGGCACTCATCTTGTTCACTTCCAGGGCGAGAGCATTATTTGCCATGCACATGAGTAGTGGTTGGTCGGCCCGACTCGTATCCATATCGTTATCCCACACAAATGTTGCAAATAATAATGTTCTCTAATGAACGCTCTCAGAGCATATACCGCGTTCGGTGACAGATACTGTTCTAATGATGTGCTGGAGCTTTCTCCTTCGCAATCTGCGCCGCATACGGGTTCTTCGGATCGTTTGCATACGTCTCAGCTGTATCAGGAAACCGTCAGTTCAAAGAAAATTGAACAAGATGCGATGATAGATGACACACAGCGCACGGCCATATTCTGAAGGGAGCTGACGAGGTAGAAAGTTATAGCCGATGCAGCAACGAACGGCGCCAAAGGTTTTGCCACCTAAGAAAATCTATGAGTGTATGGCAAGGTGAGGACGAGCAGACAAACACACTGGAGTTGGCCACTTGCGGAGCCCGAGAAATGCCATCGCTGAACTACAAAATGAATGTCAGGCTCATTGTCTAGGACGCACTACTGGAGACCGTATGCTCACAGTGTCCAACGATGTTAAAGAGGTAAAGAGCAGTGACAGTGATCATTGTAGGCAAGCGTCATCCAAAGCGCGTGAGAAGTGCTTCCGCTTTCGGAAGGAATCGGGACAGCGGTCAACAATGACAAACACAGTACGTTTGTGTCTTTGAACATTACACTCTTGTCAAAATCCTAACGCTCCATGTATATATCACAGTCATATACCTAGTGTACATAACAGGCATACCAGTTCCACTGCTCACATTTACACGTTTCTGGTTTTTGGCTTTATAAAGGGGACAGAGCGTGGAGAGATGTGGAATTGTTAGGTGCTTTTGTGAGTGTGAGTGTGGAGTCAGACCGAGGTGAGTCTGACTGGGACTCAAAATGCAATATACAGGACTTTTTAATTTGTATGACTCCTTACATGATGATTGGACAGTAGCATTGCTGTCACTTATTTATATCACGAGTCAAAGAACACGATCCATATCAAAGATGCAGACATAAAGGCAAAAGAATGACACAATTAGACTTTTGTCAATAACTGGTGCTTCAGGCCTGAAGGTCAATCATGTGCCAAAAACATTCACTTGAGAATGACTGTCCACAGGCCTTTGCAGCCTTCCTTATTCATTGTAGAAGTATTATTCAGAATCTTCATGTATCAATAAGTCCAGAATAATTTAATAAAAGAAATTTACTCCAATTTTAACTGTCTCAAAGGTGGATATATGTACAAAGAACAAGAAAGAAATGCTGAATAAATGAATAATAAAACAAAATCATGCTGTAAACAAAAAGACTATGAAAGAAGGTATGATGAAAGGCTTGGATAAAGGATCAAATGGAAGGTCTAAATGGAGGGGCCTCAAAGGGAGGCTCAAAGGAGGGTGTACAATTAAAGGAATTGAATGGTGCAAATATATTTAAGTCCAATGTCTCCTCACCATACCCTCTGTATGTCAGATACAGCTCCTGTGAGTCCACTGTCTCTTCACCATACCCTGCACATGTTTGGTATGGCTTCTGTGAGTCTAATGTCTCCTCACTATGTGTTGAGTATGTTGGGTACAGGTCCGGAACTGGGAATGTGAATTCTGGTTTAGAGGAATTGCTCAGAGGAATGCTGGGAAGGACTCCTGCATGGGATCCAGGAATAACTCTGGAATCATTTCATACAGTATGTCATTTGCAAACATAGGAGCTGTAGACGTTCCACCTATGCATATAATCCTAGTGTTTGTAGTGATACTCATTTCTGGTATTACAGATGTCAATGACAAACTAGGTAACGATTTGTTAAGAAAGGGGAAAGAGAGGTTATGTGAGAGGCTTAGAGGGATCACACAAAGAGGGGGGATAGT